TTAACTCTATATAACTCTATATAACTCTATATAACTCTATATAACTCTATATAACTCTATATAACTCTATATAACTCTATATAACTCTATATAACTCTATATAACTCTATATAACTCTATATAACTCTATATAACTCTATATAACTCTATATAACTCTATATAACTCTATATAACTCTATATAACTCTATATAACTCTATATAACTCTATATAACTCTATAACCATGCATACTACCACATTCAATCAATAAAAATCCCACTAATACCAGGAACCACCGCGTACCTGTTATATGTATAGTGTGAAACAAAACAAAAAAAACACAAAACAAAAAATATACAACCTAGTAGAGTAAAAGAATAGAAGTCCCTAACCTACCTATGTAACTAAATTACCTTATGCCCTAGCCTACCTATATAATAAATTAATTTTTAATCTCACCTACCTATGTTTCATTAACTTAACTCAAGACTCATGAAAAAAGAGAAAAAAGAGTAAAACAGAACATAAAATACTACCACACAAACAAATATAATGTATGTATGTATGTATGATCAACCGCTAAAGAACCCACCTAAAATATAAAAAAATACAACCTACAAACACAAACCACAGGCAAAATATATAACTCTATATAACTCTTTATAACTCTATATAACTCTATATAACATAACTCTATATAATAAAATAAATAAAAATAAAAAATTTAAAAAAATAAAATAAATGAGATCAGACAGACTGCTTCAAGCGAGACAGAATGCCTGATCTGATTTTCATGTTGTCTCAGCTCCTATTTATACTCCTTTTCAACCATACATTTTCATCATTTCAATCATTCAAATCAGTAAAAAACTTATTTAATGTATGTAGTACACTGTTATACAGTCTTAACCACAATGCTAACCGTACTACATTGACGTCATCGAACGAGCGCCTTCGAAACTTTCTGATTGGCTGGTTGAATCTGCTATATTTCTTTTTTATATAAACATATAATCTTATTAATTAGTTGTATACATGCATTCTAGTTACTTCGGGAAGAATTCAGAGACCACACCTTGCTTAACATCCGATTCCAAGCCGAGCCGAGCCAAGCCAAGCCAAGCCAAGCTGAGCCAATATGCGTTGATTTATAAGCGCTTTTATATTAACATTTTGCTCGCTTTATATATATATATATATATATATATATATATATATATATATTATTTAAATTTATTGTAAAAGCAACAGTAATCAGTGCTACATATATACGCAAGCTGTTCAAATTTTTTGGGGAGAATTCAAAATAGTTTGGGACCACACCTTGCTTAACATCCGATTCTAAGCCGAGCCAAGCCAAGCCAGGCCAAGCTGAGCCAATATGCGTAGATTTATAAGCGCTTTTATGTTAAAATTTTGCTCGCTTTATATACGAACATCCCAATATAACAAATTCTCCATCCTATTTTCAAATTATTTTTTGATGCTTTTTAATCAGTCAGGTCACAATCATCATCATCGATATCGCGATGAAATCAAATTGAAAATTTTTAAAAATTGTTATTAAAAGTAACTAGTATATAGTAAAAATTTAAATTCTTCTGAGAGAATTCAAAATAGTTTGAGACTGCACCATAACACAATTGTACCATAAAAAACTACTGTTAACATGACGTCATTTCCTAAAACGATTTTGCCCATCCTATTAAATAAATTTTATTTGATGTTTTTTAATTAGTCAGGTCACATCGATATCGCAATGAAATAAAATTTAGAATTTTATTAATTTTTGAAAAAAGTATTTTTATTCATTTTATGATACTACTTTGTTCAATAAGATACTGTTTGATACATATAACCAGAATAAATATAACGGTCTTCGCTCACTTTCAACGGTCGAACAAGGAGCTTACTTTCGGAGGGGAGTTGGAGGGTGATTTTTTATCGTTCGAGTCAAAAGTTACGATCGTATATTTACTAATTACAGAATATTGCTTTTATTTAGAATGTTAAAATTTTATTTTTTTTAAATTGTTATTCAATTGGGTAATTAATTACTTTTATTTGGTATAAATTTATAAAAATAAAATCGACATAACCGAAAATAATTAAAAGTTGAAAAAATTGAGATTCTTTGCATCTCTGCTTCAACTCATAAGAAAGTGTTGTACATTGATGAAAGGCTTCCCCCTTGACTCGAACGATAAAAAATCACCCTCCAAATGTTTTCCGGAAGTTAGCTCCTTGTTCGACCATTAAAAGTGAGCGAAGGCCGTTATATTTATTCTAGTTGTATGGTTTGGCAATTGTTTATGTGTGCCTACGTTATGAGTTGGTAGAAAGTTGAATTCAGAAAAGAGAGGGCTTTTTAAGTTTTTTTTTCCAATAAACATTTTACGGCACTGCAGCTTCCAAGATGGTGCCATAATGTGCCAGTAATTTTAATATTTTTACATGGTATTTTTAAGTTATAATTCTATATAGATAATTAACACTCTAAGAAGTCACGTAGTCAGGTTAAACAAGCTTGACGTGACATTTAAATTTTAAAAATATCCAAACTTCTTCGTGTAAAGTTCAGCTGGCTAAAACTTTATTATTACATTCTCTTGAGTAGATAACATGTAAATTATTTTAAGAATTACTATATTTTTTTAAGATGTGGCTGAGTTTGTTTTTTCCATTTTTGCATAAGTTAGTAACTTTTACACATATGTTAAAGACAGTTTTATAAGCACACATTAAATTTAAATCTCATCTTATTTGAATCACACCATGGTTAAAAATTTACTTTTTAAATCTAATGTTTATTATCATTCGTTAGTATGCCAGTGAGCACTAGGAAAAAATAAATATAAAGAAACGTTCTATAAATTTGTTTATAGAAACTGTTTCTTTTACTTTTCATTTAAAGTAAATGAAACAGTCAAATTAGATGGGGAACCGTGGCAATAGCACATATTGTCTAAACGATCCATGAGTCTGAGTGAGATAATGAGAATCGACTTTTCAAAATTGCAATTTATGAATTCCAATCAAGTGTTGTTAAAATGGCAAAAAAAGTATGTCATTTGTCAGAATAATAAAACATTTGAAGAAATTCATAACTTAATCAAATTGTTCTCATGTTTAGATAGAATGATACATTTATATCAATAAAAAACTTATCTAAAAAAAACTACCACTAAATATTGACACCGTAGAAAATGAATTGATGGATGTATCCAACTTTAAACAAGATTAGCTAGCAAATACCCTTCATGTTACTCACATTTTATTGCATTTCAAGTTATATCACTTCAGATGAATGTTCTCTCAGATATGGTTAAGCCAGAAAAAAATTGACAAATTCATACGAAAATCTAAATTATTCATTTTGGTAAAGTTTTAAAGTTTTTGTTATATTTAAAAACTTCCACAGTTAGTGGTTTTAAAAGTTTTTATTTTATGCTATTTCAACGCGTGATTAAAAAAAAGCATAAATATGAAATTGAACGCTCTAACACTTGCTACTACTATTCAGCTAAACGGGGAAACATTTTCGAATAAACGATCGAGATAATTAGCGTTCAAATGCATCGCCCACTATCGACAAATTCATAACTGCGCATGTTGTACATGTGGGGAAATGCAAAAAAAAGTTTCTCACAACTCAGCGACATCACGCATCATCGACATTAACCATAAAATTTTTTTACAATGAAATTGGATGTAGTCGTTTTGTTATTTCTAGCCATTCCAGCAACAAGGTCTGTTGAATGTAGGTAAATTTCTTTGTTTCATTTGTTTAAAATAAGAATGAGTATTTGTATTTTTGTTTTCAAACTTTATAATAGTTATTCACACAGTAGGGTCGTCGTATGTAGAACGATTTTTGAATATTTTATAGTAAAATGTTGAGTTTTATTTATTACATTTTGAATATTTTATAGTAAAATGTTGAGTTCTATTTATTAAATTTTATACTAACTACACTTTATGATACATTTACACCACCGTGCAAAGATACTGAAAGATTTCAATACTATCACAGAACAAATGTGATGGTTGATGTTCTCATTGTTACAGATTATTCCGTTTATCGATCGTCAGTTTTAAATTCTTTTTAATGTTTTTTTATTGTTTATAAAAATAAAAACTGCTAAAAAAGCAATTTTTTCTGTCTGAAGTTTTAGAAAATTGTATCACAACTCATCATAATTCTCTATCACAATTCATTATCATAATTCACTATCACAATTCATTATCACAATTCACTATCAAAATTCGCAATGAATAGATAAAGAAAATTCATCATTTTATCACTATTACATTCTAAAAATTTACCAAAGAATATAAAAAAAATGAGACCAATACGTTTGTAATACAGTCCGAGCCTTGTTTTCTTTCCTAAAATATATCCACCTGTATCAATCTTGATGTTATCTGACTTGTATGAAACCCTCTTTTCCATACAATTAATTTTTGATAAAAATATTTGAAAATTGTTCTTAAACTGTTCTGACTTGTATGAAACAATTTTTTTCATACAATTAATTTTTCGATAAAAATATTTGAAAATATTGTTCTCAAACCTGTTTTTTGTGTCAAATAGATGGCTGGATTTAACAGACGAAGATCACCAAAAGGCAACAAGTGATATAAGATACGTGTACGCAAATGTTGCTAAAGAGGTCGGTCATTGATCAAATGTTATGGCATAGGAAAGCCTATTATAACTTTGCCTATTAAATTTATCAATATTAGCAGTCTTCCTATCGCATAAGGTTAAACATCTAACGAATAACTTTTTCAACGTGTTAAATAAATTACAAGAATCAACATTACACTGATAATTGCCACAAATGTATCCAAAAAACCCAGCGCAGATCAACGATATGTACAAATCTATTAACTCAAGTAGATACACATTCTCGACAAGAGTTGTTAAATTAATAATAACCAAGGTTATATGTTGAAGTGATTTGTTTCTTCATTTAATTTCTTCAATAATTTAATCCATGATCTCATAATTGATCAACTAATAGAGATAAAGCACTGCTTTGTGGATGAAATTTGAAAAAAAATTTTAGGGGAAATTATAAAGAACTTGAGAAACAATTTGACCCATCAGGAATCTCACGACCCTCCGTTTACAGAGTATCACCCGGCGAGGAAGAACTTGCGTGGAATCAATATGTGCCAAGCCAACATCCAGTTCAGCAAATGGCTGGAGAAGAAAAAACACTTTTTTCCAGCTTACGATGTTGCCATTGCCTTCATGAAGTTTGTCTTAGAGAGCCAATTTGCTTGAATTTTTAACGATGCTATATTTTTCTAGATTGCGTGTGTAGATAATTGAAAAAAATTTTATCAGCTAAAATTAATGTCATTTAAAAAAGTAATCATGAATATTTTATGAGGAACTGAATTTGCAATGCTAGATACGCGGACGGGCTAACTGGAATGGGATTCAAAGAAGGTGTGTGCTCGCCTTTGAACAGTGCAGTTGCAACAGATATGGGCATTTACGGGACCAGCGATACTGCTGCACATAAGATCGGACACATGTTTGTTTGCTTGCTTGTTCAGCTCTTCATTCCTTTAAATCAAATAGTTGTTTGAATTTCAAAAAGTCAGTCGACTAAAAAACTTTTTAGAATATTCTTACTCAAAGAACAAAACTGAAAAATTAGCTTAGGAGCGATGCACGACGGCGAGGGCAACAACTGTGCAGCAGAGGAGAGCCACATCATGACGCCACTTCAGAATCCGAAAAACAAACACAAACACACCTTTTCTAGATGTTCCGTCAAATATTTTGAAGATTACGTCGCGAATTTGACCGAGAGAAAATTTATTTTTTATTTTTTATTTAATTTTTCAAATTTTTCAGAATAATTTTTGATGTGCAGTAAATATTTTACGTTCTTTTTGTTTGCGAGGTGACAAAATATTAATAAATTAAATTCAACAAAGAGCCTGATGAAATTTTGTTGTCAACAGTGAGGGCAACTGTTTGTCATATCAATCAACTGAACACGAACGCTTCACAGAAGTTCTGAAGATTCTACCAGGGCAGATTTTTTCGATTGACATGCAGTGCAAACAAATATTAGGCGCCTTTTCTTACTACTGTAGCGTAAGATTCAACATTTTGTCCATTGAATTATTTTAAATGTGAATAAAATGCCTCGGCGAACATCCTCAAATGTTTGTAAACTATTCAACTGAATATGACATTTCGTTATTTGCTATTGAACCGAAAAGTTATGCAATGTAAAGTACCATAAAGTGTGTTATTACAAACAAAGTTATAAGCATTAATTTGAATATTGACAAAATATAATCGATGTGAATAAAAATCCCGCAATCAATGAACTTAGTGAACAAGTTGAATGAACATGACGAATGAACATGATGAATGAACATAATGAATCACGTGTGAATAAACATGACATAAATTTAAAATATCATAAATGGACGATGAATGAACAAAAAAAATCAGCATAAATAAATGTTTAAAGCTTCAAAAGACAAGTAATTTTACTTTTTACCATTATTTGACTGACAGAATGGCAACGACACACATCTGCAAATCTGTTCAGAAATATATTGTTACGACTTGAAAAGGAAAAATTGTGTCCGGACGTCAACCATGATAGGGTTGGATGGAACACCATGTGGGAACAAAATGTGGTGCAGTAAGGGGCAATGTAGACACCACAGGAACGCACCAAAAAATCGAGGTTAATTTGTCTTTTACCTATTCGCATATACCCCTTTCTTTTCTCAAATATCTCCATATCTTGTACCTACCTATAAAATATAAAATAATTTTTAAAATTTGCACGTTTATGTATAAGTTCCAATCTAAATTATTTTCTAAGTACTTATCAGTTGAACCTAAACGCCCAGGTTTACGATCGTCTTCTTGTTCTCGCTTCTTCTTAACTTGTGTTAAACACTCTTTTGCCGCTTTTTCTGGCACTTTTTTCTTGAACTCTTTACCTACTTCTCTGACTACTTCTCCATCACTTACGAAGTTCAGAGCGGATCTCAAGACCCATTGTTTGCAAAATTCATTGAGGAGCGCTGTTGAACATCGCGGAAATAGCGCTTTACAAGCTAATTGATTGATTGATTGATACTCAAGAATAAACAAAAACGTTCACATGCCTACAATTAAAATTGTGAAACAAGCTCATTAATACGTTTAACGCTTGAAATCTGAATATCATTAACAAAGATTGTGCATAGTATTTAAATTTGGCGTCGTGTGATATTGGCAGGTTAAAAATTTAGTTGGTTTTTGGTAAACTATATTTGCATATTCTGAAAAGCCCGTTAACACTTTTAAGGGTTTTGCTTGTATGGAGATACCCGACCTCAATTTGCGGACAAGGACAACGAAGCAATTACGTGCGATGAAATATGGGACGACGAAAAGCTCTGCTACTCCGATTGGATATATAAAAACTGCTGCGTGACGTGCGAAAATATCGAAAATATCAAATCTTCTCGTAAGTTTTTTCTTTATTTTGAAATGATTATAATTTTTCTATAATTAGAAAAAAGTGACGGGGTAATGTTAAATTCAATTTTTAGATTGTAAGTTTGGAGATAAGGTTGATTTCTGCGGAGCATTCTTGGACACACCAAACTTTTGCACCCACAATGACTGGCTGTGTTGTGGCAGCTGCAAACGTCCATATTATTACCATCACTGAATTTGTTTCTAAATTTATTATCACTAATCAAAGTAACATTGATGACTTGAAAATTTTATTAATCTTTCTGTGGATTAGATTAATAAACAAATTATCACTCTCCATAAAATTTTTGGCTGCAGATATTTGTGTGATCAGTGAATTAAATAATTGAAAAAAAACACATTCCCCATCAGAAAAATAAAAATTAGAAGTTTGTTAAAATTAATTGCTGCTGACATTACATTTAACAGTATTAAAGCGCACATTTCGATTTCTACAACAAACCGACAAGTCATCTATTATTTTATTATATTTATTTTGTATTTATTTTGTATTTTATTTTATTATATTTGTTTTATTATATTTATTTTTTATTTTAGCTCTTTCTTCATATAAAAATCAACGAATCAGTGATACCACAAATTAAGCATAACGTCTTTATTTATCGTACATCCATCCAATTTTGCCTTGATAAGAAAGAAAATTTTATAAAATCAAATGCAAAATAAAAAATAAGATGAAGAATTATAACTTGGATACGAACAAAACAATACATTGCACGTTCAATTGATTGTAATTAACAATGTTATTAGTGGTGTATCGCTCGTTTATCAGCTGTTTATTGTTACACATTATTACCTGTCTACTCCGTTTTATAAGGAGACATACGTGAAAGGTTTCATACATTTTTTTAATCTTTTCGTTGTTTATTTATTTCAATTATTTTATAATTATATATTTTAAATTTTATTTATTTGTTGGAGGATCTTCGGGCTTTTCGAAGTAGGAAAATTTTATCTTATTACACGTAGGCTAAGTTGCTGAAAAAAACTTGCGAACATTTCAAGAAATGAATTATTGTAATGTTAGACAAACAATTGTTGACCGGAGCCACTCATCACCAACATCACCGATAACGCCACCATCATCGCTGCTGACGTCAACATCATCAGAAAACTCCAGAGACTCTTATAGATCAATATGGAAAGATTTCTGTAAACAAAAGTACGGGGAAGAAAAAAGAAATAAAAATGGAAAACTGAAAAATTATGGAGAAGTCATCATTGATCACCTTGAGGAAGTGGAAGTTAGTGACGATGTTTTTAATCAGGACAATGGTCGTTTGGACGATAGGAATGTTATTAAATCCAGCGATGACGGTACTACCACTAGCCACAACAAAAATTTGAGCAGCAACGACACCACCACCAAAAACATCGACACGGACCACATAAAAAAATACAAATATATTTGCGACAATTGTGGAACTGAAAAACAATTTCAAATCACATCAGACATTTCAGTAAGAGTTGACAACAGCAGAAACATCGATCATAGAGTAAGAAAAAAAGTTTCTTTTCGGGACATGAAACCGAAACATAAAACCGAAACAAAAATGTTTTTCAACAACTCTGACAAAAACGAAGGGAGTTTCTTAATTGGTTATAACAGAGATATGAATGACAATGAATTTAAAAATTCTAAAAGCCACGTTTCTTATATAAATTTAATTAAAAGCAGGTCAAATCCTGAAATTAACACAACCAGTAGCAGTAGAGAATACATAAATAGCACAGACACAAGCAACCTAACTATAAAAAGAATATACCAGGAACATGATTTGGAGTCTATAGGACCGCATGCTTCAAATGACGTATTAGTTATGTTTAATAAGAAAAACACATCCACCGAAAGCATTTTAAGAAATTTGGCTATAGAAGCGACCAGCGTCAACAAAAACTGCAACAACAATAACGGTAACAGCATCACCACTAACAACAATAACAACAACAACTATAGAAACAGCAACAGCAAATATAACAACAAAATCAATAAAAAATTTTCTTTAAGTGACGGTAATTTGTCTAAAACTGCCAGTAAAAAAAATTTGTTTAATACAAAAAATCTCAATCCACTTCAATTTATTGGAAGAATTTTCAATTATGAGACAGTCTTTGAAGAAGTAATCTAAAAAAAAACAACTTATTTTTAAAAGAACGAACATGGAAAAAGCGTTTACAGTGATGACGTGTCAAATAATTCTAATCAGCTACAGTAAATAACGTCAACTGACATACGCAACATTAATCAATTCAATCTTAAATAGTCTTCCTGTTCTCAAAAAAACGTGTGTTAATGCGTAGAATTTTGTGTGTAAATCCCAAAAGACTGGTACAGCTATCAATAAATAGGTGTCAGCAGCTAAACATAGATTGTGATTGTGTGTGTGTGCGTGTGTGTTGTGTGCGTGTGTTAATGTTTTTATGATGACTTTGGATCGAGTTAAAGAGTAGATATAGAATGGCTAGCTGAATGAAGCTAGTATGATGGCATAAAGGTAGTACTGATGTGTATTTATTTGCAATTGAACAAAAAATGTATTTTGAAATTAATTGCATCTGTGTTAACGTACACTATATACAGGAGGGAGCATACATAAATATAGATCTGCATGTTTTAATAAATATATTTATGAACTGCAGTTAGAACTCAAAGAAATTCCTCCCTGGCTTTCAAAAAAATGTTTTACGCTTTGTTTGTTTAACGTTTTTATTTTGTTTTTGATACATCCCAGTGAAATGTTTTTTCAGAAGTTCTAATGTGACTACTAACTAGTAGTAAACATTAAAAGTAACATTATTAGTACTTGCTTAGTAATCTTTTTTGGGTTTCATTCAGTTAGTCGGTTCTATTTGTGATAAACATGATGTAATTTTAATTTGATCAAACTATGAATTGAGAAATTGTAAAATATCATTGTGAATATATAATGTATGTGTGTTCATTATGTATTCAAATTCATCTGCAACCTGAATTAACTTAGCTTTTTAACGCCAATATTTTAATTCTTATTTTAAAAATTACAAATACTACACTATGGTATTTCATTGTTAAATTGCAATTAAGGCGATGCATTTTAAAGTATTGTTCCAAAGCATAATAAATTTTTTGATAAATTTTATATTCAGTAATCAGAAAGGATGTTGATTGAAGATGAAACTGTATTTAAAAATCGCTGCATTGCCAAACATTTTTATTACTGTAGTTGCATCATCATTGTTCAATTAACGTTTTAATAAATGAAATTTTTATCAATTTTGAAATTTTATCAATTGTGGATTAAGTTTTAATTTTGAATTAAGAATGGCAGATTTTCATATTTGTAGAATTAAACACGAAATTTTAGCAATAATATACTGTCAAAAAGAATATCTTGACTCCAATGATATTCAGCATACCTTTACGGACCGTTAAAAAATGCTTAAGGTCTATTACTCCCTTCCTAAGTTCAGAAAGATTATTTTCAATGCCTGTTTTGTTGATTAATTTAATCGAATCGAAATATGTTGCATGGCTCTTTATATTTTTTCTGGAATGTAATTATTCCGAGTTTGGATGTCGAAAAAAAGATATTCCAATTAAAAAAAGATGCCATTTGAGATAAAACTACGTAATGAAATTATAATGAAGAATTGTCTCAAGTTCAAGTTAACAATCCCATGTTAAACCATAATTAACATATTAAACTACCAGCTTAATATACCATATCAACGCCACATTTAAAGGAAATCGAACTATAGTGTTGGTTCAGTTATACAAAATGTTAACTAATCATTATTTTTTAAAAATGCAATATATCAAATATGTCAGGATTTCTATCACCAGCTTAATTCACTATATCTGAGCGATATTCCAAAAAATTGAATTATAGTGTGTGTTAAGTAATACATAAAATAACATTATCAGTAGGCCCGACCAAAAGTTTATATGTCCATATTTAATGAATATATATATATATATAATGTTCACAAATAAAAGTTAAAATAGCTAAAAGCAAATTTCAACACGATGTTGTAATAAAAATCTTCGTCAATCATGAATCTGTCCATTGCTCTCTCGAATTTTTTACAGTTTCAGCTTCAACAACAGCTGAGGAAAGTTTGTTCCACAGAAGCGCTGCCCTGTTTAAGAAATGGTATTTCTTTGCGTTCGCGTTAGACCAACTCACATCGAGTTTGTATCGATGTCCTCTGGTTTGTGTTTCTACGCGCCTATTCAATAGTGGAAAAGATTTTTTATCACTCACTAAAAGCTGAGTTTTACTAATTTTTGTAAACGAGACAACGGAGGAAGGCCATGACCACGGCTAGCCCTCTCCTAGGTCCGCCACTGAACTTTTCCAGTTCACAAACTCTCCATACCATAATCGCAATTTGTAAAAAAACCTGGTGTTAGCCAATTCAAAAATTCGTGTATTCAGTTGTGATATGTACTACTAAGGTTTAAACAAAATTTGAAAGCGTTTTGTTGGAATATGCGTTAATATAACACATCAAAGTAAATTGTTTGAAATTTTCGTACTAACGCCACGACACGTTTCAGCAGAAATTAAACGTGAATGTTTGTCGTAAAGCACCGAAGCCGGGCAATGAAAATATAGTAAACAATGAAACACCGTTGGGAAATTGCAAATAATTAATTTTTTCATTTAAATCATACAATAAAATTGTTTCGATTAATATATCGGAAAAATGTCTAGAAAAAAACTAAAAAAATTTATTGTTAAAAATGTGAAATTTTATTTTCTTCAATTCAGAAATCAGATCATCTGGAACAGCTGAGAAAGCGGGCCTTCCACGTAAGACCAGGAGGACACAGCATAACATAACATTGGCCCCACGTACTGCACTGTACAAACATTTTCCGATTTTGGTGTGCAAAATAGAGCCTGCCACGAGCAATGTTTTTCTTCGTACAGGGATTTTTATCAGCGCAGTCGAATCCAGATGTTGGTGTTGTTGCTTTATAATTTGTTGTTAAAGTGGCTACATCGGCGTTTGGTGTTGCTGTCGATATGTTAACATTATTCAAACTAGTTGTTGTAATTTCATCAATCATTGCAGTTGTTGTAGTAACTTCATCAATAATTGAAGCGGTTGTGGTAACTTCACCATTCACTGAAGTAGTTGTAGTAACTGCATCTATAACTGGAATGGTTGTAGTAATCTCATCAGTCAATGGAGTGGTTGTAGTGACTTCTTCAATTATTGTAATAGTGGTAGAAGCTTCGTCAATCAATGAAGTTGTTGTGACAGCTTCATCAATCATAAAAGCGGTTGTGGTAACTTCATCAGCTATTGATGCGGTTATGGTAATTTCATCAGTTTTTGGAATTGTCGTAATTTCATCCAATACTAAAATGGTTGTAGTAATTTTATCAATCATTGGTGTGGTTGTGGTAACTTCATCAATTATTGAAGTTGCTGTGGTAGCTTCATCAATCATTAAAGCCGTTGTGGTAACTTCATCAATTTTTGAAGTGATTGTGGTAGCTTCATCATTCATTAAATCGGTTGTGGTAATTTCCTCAATCACTGAATCGGTTGTGGTAACTTCATCAATCACTGAAGCAGTTGTGGTAACTTCATCAATTATTGGTGTGGTTGAGGTAATTTCATCAACCATTAAAGTTGCTGAGGTAGTTTCATCAATCTTTGAATCGGTTGTGGTAACTTCCTCAAACACTGACGCGGTTGTGGTCACTTCATCAATTGTTGGAATAGTTTTAGTAGCTTCTTCATCGATTATTGAATCTGCAGTGGATGTTCTATTACTTTCTGTTACGTCTCCAATTATCTTGTCTGTAGTCAAGTTCATCGAGTAGGTTGTGGTTTCACCACTGGCTCCGCCGAGAACATTTGAAACGAGCAGCAGAGTCAAAATCAGCTGAGGTTTCATTTTTCTTTTTTTTTGTCCTATCTGTTACAAAAAAAAATTTATTGTTTTTTTTTATACATGAATATACAATAAAAGATTAAATATTAATATTAATGAAGTAATTAAATATTTTTAATAAATTTGCAAAATAAATAAGCAAAATTATTTTAATTTTTACCAACAAAAAAAGAATTATTTTATAACAATATGATTAACTAATATATAATAATATAAAATTTGTATTGAGTAGAATCAAAAAATTTTAAACTAATCAAGATCCGGTAAGACAGCAGCAAATTTATAGTGAAATCTGAGCACTTGAAATTGAGACGGGATGACGTTAAAACGTGTGGCTTGGCTGATGACACTTGGCAAACAAGAAAATAAGTGAATGGGCTTTTGTGGGATTGGCATGATTCGATCACGATAGTGAGTCAGACGATTATGAATTTAATCAAGAGAATTAACGTTAATTTTTATTTAAATTTGGTCTAAGTAGAATTAATCATAAATTTTTGGTTCAAATTATCTGAAAAATTAATGTTTGTATTTTAATTCAAATATTAAATAAAATTCTATTAAAAGTTTAGTCTTATTAATTAATGATTAATTAAATTTTTTTTTCATTTTGTTTAAAAAACTATTCTAGTGCAATCGAAATGTTTACATGATAGCAAATTTTCTATGTCGCGATTCTCACGATATGGTGAATATAACGTGATTAAGCAAAATTGGACAACGCCAATGTTTGCTATGGGCCAAACTTATTTGACTTTAATTAGCATTTTAATGAGTTCGTTTCGTACGAATGCAAATATATAAATAAAATCAAAATTCATCGGTCAGGTGAGCTCTCAGGGGAAAATTTTACTCAATTACATGTAAAAACCAAGAAGTAATTAAAATTAATCGAGCTGATTATTTAAAAAAATTTCAAGATTCAATTGGATTTAAATTTTGAGGTATGCAACACAAACCTTTAGTAAGATTAGGTCAGATTGACTATTGTTATTGTTGATCTTAACTTGTAATTTTTCAATTGCAATGGCCATTAATGCATAATTTGTGTGCAACACACATGGTTAATAAAATATTTAAATAATTGAGCAAATCAACAAACTTGCAAACAAACGAACAAACAAACAAACAGACAAACAAACAAACAAACAGACAAACGAACAAACAAACAAACAAATAAACAGACAAACAGACAAACAAACAAACAGACAAACAAACAGACAAACAGACAAACGA